TTGCGTTTTCATCTGCACCGGCTCGCATCCCACAGGTTCAGCGTGTGGGTGGTGTGAGTCTACCTTGGCTTGCAAAAAGCCATGTAGAGCTACCCTCCAACAGCTGAGACAGTTTATTCACCCTGTTAATGGCTGCTTCTACATCACTCACTGAAACAGTTCAGTTCTTCAGGATCCAAGTGATAAATAAGCTGCATCACCACAACCCCATTTTTGTCTAAGAGATTAGGTAAGACTTTTCAATCAAGACGAAGCCTCCCCTCTTACAATAAAAAGTGGAAGCTGTGAAAGGTAATTCTGCACACTACCGTGTATTGTTGGGCTTTAGTTTCACTGTTAAATTAATTATGTAGACAAGAGCTTCTCACCTCTAATCAGAAGAAATAAAGAATTAATATGAACGCTGTGGTCAGGTCTTTGGGTTTTTTACTGATCTGTTTTGTAGAGTGAAAGGTCAAAAAGGAAGAAGGTAGAGTCAATGGAGAGGAACAGGCACTTCTGGAGGCAATTCAAAAGACCTACTTTGTGCATCTACCTTAGTAGGGGATGAATCACCTGCCAGAGATCAGACAAACCATCTGTTTCGGTTGACTATAACAGGAGCCGGGGAGACCAGCTTAGAAAAGAGATTGCTAACCCCCAACTCGTACACGGGCTTGATCAGCATTTCCACTGAGTTGTTTTAAGTACTGTTTACACACTGATAGTGCATAGCCTTAAGTGCTGGGCTAATTTAGTGAAGGAATGGTTTGGAAGGGTATATCAAAACCTGTTCTGCTTGTCAGCTAAGCTATAGTGATATCTCCAGTTTCTGGAGATGAGTGTTCTGGCACCTCCTTCCATATACAATTATCCCTGTTTAAGTAGGAGTGAAAAAATCTCATCCAGGATTTCAGTTGTCTAAAAATATAATATTTTTTGAATGCTTAATTATTGTGATTCCTTTCCTTCAGCAGCTATGTGGTCCAACTCCTGTTATTATCTGTAAGGAGCTTGTGTATTTGGCTCTGTTAAGACCAAGGCTGAGTTTCAGCTCTTTGGACCATAAAGATTTGAGCTGGGATAATCAAACAGATGATCTTCTTTCCACCACCGCAGCACATGCAAAGTGTGGAAAGTGGCTAAAAGAGGTGCAATGTCAATGTGCATAAGGCCATGCCCACTGCGGATTTCTCATTGACTCAATGCTAAGTCGCATATGTCAATTAGATATTGCCTATGCATTTTTGATGGAAAATGCCACAAGATAGAGTGCGTAAAGCTGTGCCCAGAGACATTTTGATTTTTGAGGTTCAGGGGCTGAGCTGAAGTCATGAGAAGAAGATGATTGTAAGATGGGGCCTTCCGATTAATGTCAGTTAATGTCTTGGGGCATGTATTATCAGTCACCACAACACTGTAAACATGCTCAGGATGTAACACTGCAAGAAGGTGTCTACTGACACCCTGTGCCCAGGCACAGCTTGAGCCTCCCAGATCATTGACATGATGAGCAAGATTTCAGGTATGAGGGGAGGACACCAAGGTGGTGAAGAAGATGACAGTAGGTCAGTTGTCCTTAAAGCTGGTGGTAACTCTCTATCTCAGTGTTGTTTTTCTGCCAGAGGTGCATTACTAGATGCACATGTATTTTACAAAACATCCCAGGCTCATAGTCAACCTCAGAGTACAAATCCATATGAAACCTCACCGTCTCGCAAGGACTGAGGACCTTGTTGGTTCCATGCTGTCCTGGCTTCTAAATATTGCCCTCTACAGCTCTGAGCTAGCTCTTGCTAGTGGTATCCTGAGAGGTTTCTGAGTGTTGAACTAGGTGTGAACAGGCTTATGTCACCACCAAGATCCCAACCAAGAACCCATGTGGACAGGGAGGCTCAAGATGCATTAGATACCACCATCTAGTGGGAGAAAAAAGTTGTACCACGGTGGCGTAGAACCGGTCTTTGCGTCAGCTCTCCCACGTTCTCTCTGACTGGTGAAGTTTTGGGCTTGAGCCCTCTTTGCTGTGCAGATGTGGCCAGAACAAGAAGTTCCCTCCTGATTTACTTTGGCAAAAAGCTGTGAAATTAGTCAGGGCTACATTGTAGCACCATGAAAATTGTGGGCCTCCTGTCTCTGTTGCTGGGCCTCTTTCCAAAATTCCTGGTGATTAGAAGTAAATTAATGAGATGTGATTACTCTGAGAGCTACTCCCCTGGTGCCCACATATGCATACAACCCTCCCTCTCCTGAAAGGAGCTGCAGCAAACACAATTGCTCTGACATGAATACAGTGAGTTCCACCAACTGGGTGGAAGCAAGTGGAGAAGATCTGGTGTATTTTAAACCTGGAGACTCTCTGCTGTCAAATGACACACAAAACCTTTGTCTCCTGCAGCAAGTTGGGTGGGATGAGATGACGTTGGTAGAGGAAGGCAGAGCTGACCTTGTGGTCCTCTAAACTACAGCCTGAGCTGGGCAGTTGAGAACAGCCCAAGGGTTGCATCAGGTGGCATCATCGGCCTGTTGGGGACTCAGGGCCATCAGGGGACATCTAGACCCAGAGTCAGAGGTGAGGCTGATCCGGAGGGCTGGACCTTTTGTAATGTCTGGGGGTGTGAAACCCCAAGTTCAGCAGTTTTGCTTATCAAAGTGTATCTATGGGAGGAAAACTTTTGAAACCTTGCATGACCCTGTAGGCTCTAACCACAGCAAGGAAACAAAAACTCTGAGCTTGAAAGGAGCCAAACTCTCCTTGCTAGCAGCAGGGCCAGGCAGAGTGCCATCAGATCACCCACCCCTGCTCAGAAGGTGCAGGAGGACCATCAAGCATCGTGGCACCTCGTCACCCGGGGCCATGCAGATGCAGCCAGGGGATTCAGTGGGAGACCGAGGAGAGACAAACTGGAAGCACAAAATGAAGACCGAGTCAGAGCAGCTCCAGGCCAAGTGCCCTCCTCCTGGGCTCCAATCCTGCTCTTCCAGCTGGGATTGCCATGGACTCTGCCTGTATTTAAGCAGCCAAGTGAGACACCCAGGACTTCAA